CTGGTGAAATGCAAACTGGTCTTGATTATGCGGACGGGTGGTCCCATCATTTGGCAGGCGCTTCGCACCTTTAAATTGCAGTGTTGTTGCAGGGCCAACAGTCACTTGAGGAACACCTGACCCTTGATAGCGCGAAACTCGAGATTGTGGATCACTTCACCTACCTAAGCCGCTGCATCAGCCACGACAAGCGGATGACAACTGAAGACAGTTCACGTATTGCAAAAGCTAGAACTGCCTGCTTGAATTTGCGACATCTGTGGTGTCAGAAAGGTTTCTCTTGGTCTGAAGTGCTGTGTTTACAAAACCACAATGGGGACCGTTCTACTCTATGTGAGTGAAACTTGGCCCCTTCGATCTGAGGACATGCGGCACTTTTAAGTCGTTGATCAACGTTGTCTGCGAAGCATTGCTGGTGTCGGATGGCACCAGCGAGTCCGCAACAATGGTGTGCGTAGGCTAGTACGAGTTAGTAATAGTCTAGATGGTTCCTTAGAACAAAAAATGGCAACGAATAAATTGCGTTGGCTTGGGCACGTACCACGTATGCCCGTTCCCAGCTTACAGAGGATGGGCTTGTTATTTTTGGCAGATTTACGGTTGGGAAGACTTTAGTTGGGCCGGTGGCCGAGTGGTCTGCGCATAGTTTGCAACCGTAAAGTTCCCGGTTCGAATCCGCGTAGGGGTGGGCGTCCTCGCGGTATACTCAGTCCGTACGCGACTGGTGGTGGTCGGGCGGCAGCGAAGTGCTGTTACGGCGTATAGCTGACACATTATTTTATTCGTATTAGTTGGGCAAAAATTAACTAAGCAGTGGGAAATGAAGTCACACGACCAACTTCGGTGCCGTTGGTCCGCTCGCCTACCAGGCTGGAGTCCACGTCACCCGCCTTGTGCTTGGTTCGAGACTTTACAGGACATGGCTCGCAGTCGACACCAGTGGCGCGTCTAGTGCCGTCTCCTAGTCGGACTGCTTATTTAAAATTTATTTGGTACTGTGTTATCTGCAGGCTAATGGCTGATTATGACGCGGGGCAGTGAAAGCCGCAAGGAAGCTGTCTCACTGATGCTGCCTTATCATCAGCAACAACTGCGATATATCAGTTATCTGAACTAATACTCTGCTAGCATGAAACCATGATGGCCTATGGAATAAAGAATAATAAGGGAGAAAAGGGGGACTTACATGAAAACCTTACTCTCCTAAGCAAAAATTTAGGGTCAAGGTGCATACACCTTGTGTTAACAACATACCGTCACAAACAGCTATCCATTGTGCAAAGATAAGGCGGTATCAAGGAGACAGATTCCTTTCGACTTTCACTGCTTGCGTCGCAATCAGCTATTAGTCCGCAGATAACTCAGCAACAAACACACGTTAAACAGGCAGTTCGACTAAGAGTCGACGGTTGATACGCTACTGGTGTCGACTGCAAGACATGTCCTGTAAAGTCCGTCTGGTCACATTGTGCTCAGAGCCAGTCACAAGTTTTCTTTTGGATTTCAACAGGTTCACCGACCTCTCGGATATCCAGTGACTGGTGCGGTGGCGATTGTGACGAACACAAGTAGAGGCTCCTGCGTCGTACATACCAGCTGAGATCCTATATCACTGAAGTGAAAGTTCGTCACGCAGTGCGTTTCGATAGGCTTCCCTGACCGAAGTCTAAGACAATTTCTCAGTTGCCAATCGGGGGAGACGCTTGGAGCGCCTCCCGGTAAAGTGCATGGAGAAACGACAGCGTACCAAGGCATGGTCAGAGTCGACGCAGGTATTCCAGAACGAGAGGAAATGCAGGATGGAACCAGGACACCTATAACTTAGGGCAATGTGGTTAATTTGGGTCCACCGCTTGCCAACTACAGGAGGACGGCAAGTGGTACTTCGACGCCCACTGTGTCTAAAAGCAGTGCTACTAAGAAACAACTGATGCTCCACACACAGTTGCAGCAGACGCTCGTACTTGTCGGTCCATTGCGAGTTAAGCCCATAATTACCACCTAGCTGGGCTTCTGAAGACCTCAGACGCCCTACTTCAGCGTTCATGTCCCCTGAAAGTACTATAATACCTGAACTGTGTAGTAGCGCGTTAAGTTCGTGATAGGACGTGTCATTGACAGCATTAAAACTGCAATCGGTGGGAGCATAAGCAGTAGTCACAATCAAACAGCGTCTCGCACTACTTTGTGAATCAACCTTAGTTGACGTCGTCAAACGGGCTGCACACAAACCGCTGTTCACCGGAATCCAATCAACCAACGATGGCTCAGCCTTGGAGCTGAAAATGATACTTACCCCAGTGTCTCCGAATCCGTGCAACCAATAGCGATGGGACAAACCGGGCGCAGCTAATTCAACAATACAATTAGGGTTAGTGAACATAGTTTTGGACACACAACATACATCAATACCCAGTATGTCCAACGTGCATGTGGGTGCAGCCTGCTGACCTATTTTCTTAGAGTGCGAACGTTGAACGCCGTCATGGGAACGGAACAACGTGGCCTTATAAGGTACGGTTGCCGATAGGGGTCCACTGGATGTTGTGGGTAAGTGGATGCAGATGCTGTGATTCAAGTGGCACTTCAGTTGCTGTCAATTGAGCTGGGAATTATAGGAGGTAAGTAATGGGGGTCGAGATGGGACCAAGTGAAAAAGGTGTACAAGAAAGAAGAGAGCAGCAGCAGCAGCACGTTTTTGCTTATCCGCCCTACTGTATGCAGCAGGGCGACGGCCGATGCAGCATGTGGCTAGAGTTTGGGAAATGTTATGGTTGTATGTGGGCTGAGATATTGCCGGGGCGCCCAGAACTAGACAGGAGGACGATTAGGGCCTTCATCCAAAGCCTTGGCTCAAAAGCCTGTCCGCAAGGCAGAGGATGTGGCAACGATTCGGTTCTACAGAAATGGACGCCATGTCATTTCAAACCCCCAACTTGGAGGACCAGGAGACTGAGTCTATCTGACCTCTAATCATTGACCAACCTGGTAGGAGTAGCTCTCAAGGGGCCCGGAGGCACCACCCAGTATAGCTCAATGGGTCAGGGAGGTACGCAAACCGTCGCACAACGTCAAGGTCCAGTCTCGTTGTGACGGATGCTGCCTTATCGATACCCGGCCACAGTATGGCAGCAACACCAGAGTAGGATAAATTGCATAAACTAGGACGGGTGGGAAATCAAATGCAAGTGAAGACATCACTGGAGAGACCCTAGGGGAGATGGGCGTCATGCGTCTTGAGACCCGGGGAAAAGTGGTTCAAGCGAGAAGCATCGTTTTTAAAGCGGGATCCGTAAGCGTCGGAAAAGGTCCTCGAAGCAGACGCGACAAATTCTAAAGTAATGGCATGTGGAACTTAGTTCTACTGGTAGTTGAAAAAGACGCCGATATTTTTTCAACGGTCAATATATGCCGAAGGTTGCGAACCCAGAGGCCAGGAGAGTCTCAAATCTTTAAGGTGAGTATGTTCATGATGTTGTGTCCGCGTCTTTGAAGGTATAAAGTGACGAGCACAAAATGGGCAGATATAATTCGGAGCGTTCCGCAGCGTGTCGAAGGCGATAATCAGAATGCCGTTCAAGGATTACTGTACTAAAGAATTCGCTGTGGCAGGTATGACTTCTTTGTGGAGAGTTTGATGAGGATTAGACACGGTAAATGCAATGTAGGGGAGCTCATCGACTAACTAATTCCTCGCCGACAAGAATAAAATAGCTGATGGTTTTGCAACAGCACAGCATTTTGAAGGTGCAAACCACGTACCAAATGTAATGGCACCGTAAATAAGATCATCTATGGCCGCTTGGGTCTTCCAGAGATTGTCAGACAGCAAGACGAAATTGCTCGCATAAATCAGATCAACCCATTTTCCAAGAGGTATTTCAGTGCCAACATGAGATCCCGCAAGGTAAGACTGCACATTGTAATCCTTGATAAATCGAAAAGTGGGGACTATGCTGGTGAATGTTACTTATTGTCAAGAAGGTGCCCGATCGTTAATCTAATCCATCTCACTACCGTATGCCACGTGCGTGGATGGCTGTTAGCACGTTAACATACACATCGTAAGTGAATCACGGCAAGACGCGATATCACCAGGCCGTGTGTGTGGAGATCTGAAGACTGACAATGCGGCAACCGAAAAACCAAGAGCCCTTCAGCGAATATGCGAACAAGGGATTTGTTACAGCAGCATTTAAATAGTGTACCGTTTTTTGCTAAATAGACTTGATCGAAGCCCATGTAACTGCATGAGAATCGGGACCAGCAGGAAGAAAATAATTGTGGGATGTTATCGCGTTGAAAACTTCAAGTTTTGTTGAAGCCTGCAAACTAATTAGCCACAGTATGGCAGCAACACCAGAGTAGGATAAATTGCATAAATATATGATCAACTGAAGTGACCGCAAAAGTGCTTCTCCCAACGAGCTATAAGCTGTTATGTCAGGTACAAGAGAACAACGGTTGCTTCGGAGCAGACCATCACCCCAGCAGATTCAGAACCTAAATGAGCAGTAACCAAGGTATATGTTAACACATCGTGAGGCACTGCGCACTGCATCGGACCCGTGATAGCTAGCCCTTGCGTGATGTAAAGTAGTATGCATGCCAGATTTTGAAGCGTACTTCGTTCCATCAAGGAACCATCACTATGTAGGCGTGGCAAAGTTACCAAGGCAATCGACTCCAGCTCTACTAGCAGCTATTCTTAATTTTCTTTGGGTAGATGACAGCAAAGGAGCAGGCAATCCGCAGAAACACCATAACCATTAGTCAAGATAACGCAGTAAAATAGACAATCAGATAGAAAGTGACACGAGCAGAGCAAGAATGGGTTCTGTGGCAGTATCCAATGAATAAAAACAAAAAGTAGGATACTAAAACCTAAGCTTCGAAAATGTTGAGTAGTATCGCTGGTGGCCTTCGGCGCAAAATAACTCCGTTGATAGGACTATAATGAAACGACCCCTGAGCGAGAGAAGCCAAAATGGTAGACGCACCTGAACTGGAACTTCCGCAAAGCGAGCAATCTCTCGTACAGCAGCAGCGGTCAAAGCGTTTGTGGCATAGCGTTGATTTGTGTTATACTTTAACACAATACCACAATGGAATTGAGGTTTATGGTTGACTTCGTGGCGGTCGTGATAAGAAGGGTGCACCGCATGCGACTGGTCCGCTGACAAGAGGAAAGATTTGCTCAGAGATTCCTCAAAGTGACTGTCAGAAATGGTGACTGAGTCCTCGTCAGATAACCCTTCAAACGCGGATTTACCGCCGGCCAAAGCGTTGGTAATTCGTCGAAGGATATTCATTGTATGACACGAATTAGCTCCCTGAGTAGAGGTAGAGCCAATCTCTTCGTGATCATACAAACATACGACACGTAGGCAGGTGTCCTCCGACAGAGTAGGTAACGACGCAACTAACCCACTCAAGCTGGTGTACGAATTGAACAAATTGTCCAAGCGAGGGGCGTGGATAAATTCGTTGTGTAGACCACCGATACGAGCCGGTTGATAGTCCGCCAGATAGAGCTCCAATTCAAGTGATTCTACCTGATATGGGATACCCAGTTGATCGGTAATCGCACGTAGCAGACCGGTCGGATAACGGCGTTTACCACAAGAGGCAGTGGCAGTGAGTCGGCTTCCGTCTAGAATGGGCGGCACTGGATCCATTGTCGACCCGTCCTCTGCAGTGTTTAACTTGAAATGGACATTTAGAAAAGGAGATTTGGAATGTAGATAAGGCGATGAGTGAGTGGATCAGCAAAGCTGTTTCAGCGTACAAGTAGTGCAACAACGGAAGAAGGTATAAAAACCTACTTTATTCAAAGGCACATAATCCCAAATTTCTAACCAGCAAGGGGCTGCATATTGTGGAAAAATAAAAAGCAGTGAACTGAGCTGTATTTCATCAGAATACTGCGGGCCACACACAAGTATAGTGCCAGTGGTCCTACTGGCAGTGTACAGCGGCCAGAAAACAGAAAGCAGGCAATCGGATACTGTAAAAACGGAGCGAGTGCAGCCCTAATGCCAAGATAGTTTTGCATGAAGCGATTTTACACTAACCAAGAAAGCCACGAGAAAGCGATAATAACGGTAACAGACTCACCAGTGACACCAATATCGGGTTTGAATAGAGAAGCGCTTTGAATCTGACCCCGAACAATTTCCGGGCTTATGGAGGAAACTGGGTTGAGGCAAATATGGACTAAAATCCCGAACTGACGTAAACCAGGGGAAATTTAATGTTCGTTCCTTAGGTACTATGGAGTTGGAGAAAGCAATGGCTACCCGCCTTGGCGATGTCAAATCCATAGCCTCAGTGAGCGACCTGTGGCACCAGATTTGAGAGCACGTGACGGCTGCTGCAGAGCAAGCCATCAGGCGCGCAAACTGTGGACGGCCCAATTGGTTTGATGATAACACTGCGACCATTGGCGCATAGGCGAAGAATGCAGCGTTGGCTGCATATTTATTGACCACCATAGGGAGAGTCATTTGCGGAAAGTTCGACTGCGATTGATTCGAAAGCTCCGTGGTATCAAGAATACATCGGGGACGGAGAAGACGGAGCATATGGAATGCTACCCCGAACGCAGCCAACAAAAAGAAGTCTTTGAATCTTTGAAGGCGGTGTGTGGACAAACGTTGTGGCCGCTGAGGACGCTGTTCAATGCTAATTCAGACGCTGCCTGTACACAGACTGCAGACGTAATGGATCTGGCGAACACACGTTGACCGTAATTTGAGTAACCGTTCAGAGATTGACTGGCCTAGGTTGCATGGGCTGCAACAGCAAGAGATGAAGATGTGTCTTGCAAACACACCGACATTGGATGAGAAGCAGAAAGCAGTTGCTCAGCTACGAAACGGCAGATGTGCCGGCGCTTACTGGATTCCGCCTGAAGTATTGACTCGGCGTACCTGCATTGGTTAACGCGCTGCACCTCTTCGGAAGTGAAGGCATAGCTGAAGGATGCCATTGTGCTACCACTGTACAAAGACAAAGGTAGCAAGCAAAGTTGCACGAATTACCGTGGCATCAACTTGCTGAGTGGTATCAAGACAGTGAAATCACGAATGCTACCCAACCGTGTCATCACTCAGGTCGTTGAACTGCACGTGGCGGAAGAGTAAGGTGGATTCCGTGTGGGACGCAGAACTATCGAACTATTGTTCGCGGCTTGTCGGTTGCAGGAAAATGTGGAGCTACACAAGCCAATGTACTTGCTGTTTGTAGATTTCACCAGGGCGGTTGACACGGTGAAATGTGTGGAAGGTGTTGGGTAAGTTTGATTGAATGTCTGCACAGTGGCATGCGCGCGATGGTGCAGCCCTATAGACAATCCTCGGATGACTTAACTGTTGTCTCTGGTGTGAAGCAAGGCTGCGCCTTAGCCCCTGCCTTGTCTAATACTTACTAAAATGCTATAATCGCTTGTACTTTGATGCCGCTTGTGATTACAGTGTCCGTGTGAAGCACCGTATTGATGGTGAGTTGCTGAACATCCGGTGTTTCGGGACGAGAACTCTAGCGTGAGACAAACACCCGCGTATTGCTGCTTGCTGACAACTGCGTCGTTTGCACACAGCACGGATGAATTGCAGCACACGACTCAGGCTCTCGCTTCGACAGCGGGCAAATTCGTACTCAGCATTAACACTGTTTGTCTTTTCCAGCTTTCACCAGGAATGGAGTCCGTGGGCCTGCTTTAAATCCAGGTAGCCAATGATGTGTTGGAAGCAGCATCGATTTGCTACCTTGGAAGCATAATATCAACCGACCTGCAGATGATGAGCGAGCTGCACAACCGCATGTCGAAAACCGCTGCTATGTTTGGCAAATTGGAGAAACGTGTGTGGAACAACCACCAGCTTACCGCTGGAACGAAGCTTTTGGTATACAACTCGATGGTGTTGTTCGTTCTACTATACGGTAGTGAAAGGTGAATAATGTACCGGAAGGACGTCAGATTTCTGGAGTGCTTCCCATAAGTGTATGCGACGGATTCTACACATCGGTTGGTGCGACAGTGTTGAAGATACGGAGGCCTGCGTCCAAGTGGCATGGGTGCAGTAGACTGCATACTTCTGCAGCGGCACTTGAGGTAGCTAGGGCATATCAGTAGAATGAAGTCGATGAGAATACCAAACAGCTGTTGTGTAGACAACTAAGCCAAGGAAAGCAGCAAGTGGGAAAACCGAAGTAACATTAGCAAGACATGACAAAGATGAGTTTATCACGAACTAATGTCAATTCCAGGTGTTGGGAACCAAAGGCAGTTCATCGGGCGCGAATCGCGTGAGTTGGTTAAGAGGGCAGTTGGCTAGGTACAGCAGAAATCACTGTTACACGCAGGGGAGAAACGTAAGATACGGAAAAGAGAGGCATCATCGACGTCAAGCGCATGGTGCTGCAGCAGAAGTGGTCGCGAACGCCCGAGCCAAGCAGGTCTGGTAAGTTACGCAAAGCCAGGGTACAAGAGACGACGAGTCAGCTGATTATATAAGCATAATCAGCGCAGCAATTAGTACTTCCGCTACGTCCGCTTACATTCGATTTAGTAACCTAGGCCAACAAGGCGGCTGATGTGGTAGGTGTGCCGCAACGTCGTTGCAGTTTGTCTATGTGTGTTTAAGTGTTGAATTCCTTGCATTTCAGGGGTTGGTTGTCGATTCATATCCGAGGAGTGGCTGTGTTTGATATGAATGTTGACAAGGCGCCTACCAGTCTAGCACTCTCTACCTCGATTACAGGTTCCAGGAGACAGTTGCTCGTTGCTAGAGGAGACGGAGTGCACGGTAGTCGTGACGGTGCTAAGCTCAAAGAGTGGTTCCATGCCTCCAGTGTGGAAAGGCCTACGGTCCGGTCACCGCCTTGTGTACGTTTGGTATGCAGATTTCCCAATTAGACAGACAGGAATGCTGCTGTTGTGCATGTTGATGGAGTGTGGGCCGGCTCCGTTGATGAAACGTGCCTCCCATCCAAATGCCTCCCGGTCTTATTCCTTCGGGTTTACACTGGATATGGGGTGTGTGGATGGAACTGTGGTTGATGCAGTGCAAGTGACCCATCGTCCCTCTGTAAGTGCAGGCGTCTTGTGGCTGCTCTACAGAGGGACGCAGTGACAGGCAAATTCGGAATCGGATATATATATATATATATATATATATATATATATATATATATATGGTTGGCGGCATCCGGTTTCCGATTTGCCTGTCACTGTGGCAAGCCACAGGACGCCTGCGCCTACAGAGGGACCATGGATGGCTTGCGCTGCACCACCCACAGCTCCAACCACACATGGAACCACTCTTTGAGCCTAGCACGGCCACAAGAGCCGTGCACCCCGTCCCCTCCAGCAACGACCAACTGTCTCCTGGAGCCAGTATGAACGATGTAGTGGGTAATAGACAGGTAGGCACCTTGTCAACATACACATCAAGCGCAACCATACCAGGGATATCAAACAACAGCCATTCACTTTAAACGACAAGCTGAAATTAAATAAATCCAATAATGCATACAGATACGGTGGCACAACTCTTCGCTAAATTACCATATGAAGTAAGTTGGTTAGCAACAAATCCGTGATAAGTAAGAAATGTCCACAAGTTACTTAAAATGCTACAAACGCAACAAAATTACCGAAGATAAGCGCAATTAGTGTAAGCAACGTGGCCAGTTAATAGAACATTATTCAGGGAGACAGAACAAACCAAATAAAGCGGAATGAAATTTAGCCAGCTTAAAAAGACCTAGTTTAAGTGTAAGTTGGTTTAGCCCAACTGCGGTGAAGAAGCATCAAGAATGCAACATCAGCCTCAGCATGGGGCATATATATATATATATATATATATATATATATATATATATATATATATATATATATACCATTCACTATGCACTTGATTGCGTCGATTTCGTTCACTTTGAATTGCTCAGGACTCTCTTTCTCTCTCGGCCGCACGTGCTACTAAGGTCTCGTTCGTATGCCTAGTCGTGACATACATACTCTTGGTGCAGCGCAGTGTTATGCCTGTAGTGCGTCCAATGGCCGACGATGGTGCAGAATTACTACGACGCTCAAACTCCGTGGTTTGTACGTCGTGATGGATGTATGGACCGATTCAATTTATGCCAAGTTGCGTGGACCTAAAATGATGACAGTGGTGAGGCAGACAGGACGCAGGTATTGTTTGAGATTGTCAGTAAATCGTTGTTTATTGCACGCTTACTATTCGACGCGCAACTGCTCGTAGCATGAAAAATTTGGCTGTTATTCTTACCTCCAAACCGAAGTCATACATGTTAGCATTATTAAGGTCCATGAAGATTAATGTTCTCCTATTGGGATCGTAGTATATCATGCATCGCTGTGTTTGTCTGCATGCTGACATTCCGCGGCTGTCAAGGCCAAGCCTGACGACAGCCTCAAACCAAGATATTGAGGCATGAATACAGGTTACCATGCGCTTCAGGAATTTTCCTAACTAGATTACAGTATCCACACGGTAACCGAAGCTCAAAAGCATGGGAACACATCCGAAATAAAGGTGGTGCGTTGCAATCTCACTCATGTGGACCTATTGTCCGACCTGAGTGCCACTCGTACAGTGAGTGAGCTCGAGTTGTCTGCAAACGTCTAGGTGAGTGTTGCTTATTGTGAATATCGGAACCACATAGCCCTACG